CTTTTAAAAGGGCCTCCATATGCTGCATTTCTTTTAATGAAACACTATATTGTCACCATATCCTCTGGCGGCCTTGGTGACTGAAAAAGTAGGAAGGGGGGGAATGGCTCTTGTGTACCCTGACACGTTGTTTTAAAATACAGTGCAAGAGAGATCAGTCAAAAAGTTTATTTTTATATTATATCAATCTTTTTTCCTAACAAAATTTTAATTTGCTTCATCTCAATCCTTTCAGAAATTATTTCTTAAAAGGTAAAACCATACAGGCATTTATTCTTCTTCTAAACTCCTTCACAAAAGATGCTAAGCAGATCATGATACAACTTTGCAGGCACTGACGAAGCCAGTCATTACCATATATTTATTTTATTCGGTAAATGTTAAGAGAAACATCTCCTGAAAAGCTGCCCTTATTTATAGCTGAAGACATTATGTAGACTAAAACTGAGTATAGACATTTTGTGATCCACAAGGGGTTAACAGTCCACTTCACAGCTGAGAGCACTTTTAAAACATGCTCCTTTCCTAAAAGCAGGGCCAAAATCATGTGACAGGAAACATAAGATTAAGTTTATCCTACCTAAGAGAACAAAAGGGTGCTCAGAACAAACAACTAGTTTACTCTCTTGAAATCTCGTTTCACAAAATACAGCTAAAGAAATTTTCTTTCTTTCTTTTCCTTTGTGGATTCCCCACTGCACCCCATGTTGGTCATATTATAGTTTTGCTGCTTTTTCCATAAATGTTAATTTAAAATGCCAAACATAATCATGTGGAAAATGGACATTATTGATTCCTATGGTCTATTGTTTTCCTATTCTCAGTCCCTGAAGTTCAAGTTCAATCTGGAATTACATCATGTCTGGTTTCTCCTGGTTACCAGACGGCTTGAGACGTGACCACAGCTACAAAAAACAAACAGCCTTCTTCACGCTTCGGCTTCCCTATCGATTCAAACAAACTTTTTTTTTCTTCCTCTCAAGTATGCTTCAAGTATAGAGCATAGATAATTTAGAGATTAAGTTCCAAATTAGATTATCTAATGGCATCTTAATGGATTGCTGACCCATTTCCTGTGGGATGGCAGCATGCAAGTCTGGCTGGAATACAATTAATTTCTTAGGAAGTGTTCAGAAGATGTTTGCTTAAATGGAAAGGAAACATAATTCTCTGCACATCTTTCTTTATTAGAGAGCTGGGTGAAACTATAACTGAGATAGTGACAAACTGATACAAGCCAGAAATCCTTCCCCGCTACCTCCTGTACTCCAATGATTTTATCAGTCAGTATTTTCATCCCGTGATTCTTATTTGTAAAAACTGAGTCTGCATTTTAGTCCACACAAACTTATGATATAATAGGCAATTTATATCACTTGAAAAAACAAAAAGAAGGAGGTTACTTGCTACTGATTTGGTTCTTTTAAAGTTTACATTTAAGTTAGAAGCTTTAATCTGCAAGGCTGTTCTGACATTAAAATAAAGTTCCCAGTTTTTCCCATACCGTAAACTCATTTTTTTTACTTGCTTAACAGCAACAAAACAAACAGCTCCTCAGGAGGGGAGCAAGGAAAGCTGCTCCAAAAAGTTATATATTTTGACACCCTCCTGCTTTGGATAGAGTAGAAAAAAAATTCAGTGTTCTGACCCCAAAGAAGAAGCTAACTATTGTTTTGTACTTCTCAGCCAAGATGGCAAACTGAAAGCAGGAAATGTGAAGTTAGGATCTGGGAACAGCAAAATTAAATTGGTGCTCAAGATAACCCTTTATAAAACAGAATTAAATGCATCCGCTTTTTAAAACACAAATTACTAATATCTGATAATTATTGCCTTAATCTTACATTTTTGAAAAATCTGGCCAAAAACTTTGAAAGTTCACAACCGCTAATAGTTCAATACTATGGCCTTATTCAGCAGTAATTGTTTGACCTCTCAGGGTCAGATAAAGCTACCACATGAAATAAGGGCTAATACTGCATGTTGTGCATTGTATAAACATTTCTAAATATTTAGTTCAATGTAATACCAAACATTAGAAACTGTAGCTTCCTAAATAAAAGCCATGACAGCATACATCATGACATTACAGAAATGAAACAAATTATGTAATGACACAAATGAAGTATTGCATGTAGTTTACATCATTTGACCAATGATGTCATGATGCAATATGATTTGCCCCACTTTGACCTTCCCATCAAAACCCTTGAACAAAACCTCTCTCTGTACATACACATACACACACATACACACATTCAATGATTTTCTTAAACTAAGTTCCAATTCAAATTACCTCAGACTTAGAGCATATAGATATTCCTAAAGTTTTATATATCTGCATGCTGGTTGAATTTATATTAGAACTAATATCCAGGAACTGTATTGGTCTTTCTTGCTTAATTATATCTTAATTAAACCATGCTAAAATGAAATAAAACCTATTTCTGAATGTATTTGGGCAATGCTTACCATGTTTAGAGTATTTTCCCTGTAAAGGCTAATTAGGAGCTGATTATAAAAAATATATAAAATTTATTTAAACAAAAGGAAAATAGGGGCTTATAAGTAAACAATTAATATTCAGTGGAAGTTTATGGTAACAATACTAGGGACAAAAAAGGAGGATCCCGGGAAACAGTGTGGGCACTATTCAAAAAATCATTTACACAATAGTATTATATTGTGAATAAAAAGTAAATTACCATCAGTTTGTCTACAGCCTCTGGCCTAGCCCAAAATAACCTCTTTTCTCTAAGGTTACTTAGACAAAATCACCCAGTAAAATTTGAATCAAGGTCTGCTGTTCATTCACACTAAGACAAGGCATTCAATGTGGGGTTCTGAATATCTCTTTTGAAGACTTTTGGTTTTCTCCTGTCCCCATTGTACAGCATCTCTGAAAATACCATTAAGAATGGAAGAATGCCCTTTCAAAAGTTTTGCGTTCCCAAAACTTATCTTCTATCTGTACCAAAAGTGACATGACACCTTCAAATCCAATCCCCAGCTTCCTTGTAGACTAAATTAACTCAGATAGGGCAATTCTGAATTGGAAAAATGATCACACTTCTCTTGACTACTGCCTTTTCTCCATTTAGATTGGCACTATGATGGATTTGAATCCCAACATGATCCTAGTCCTATTAATAGTTCATGTACTATTCATAACACATTTTAACACATTTGGTTTACATTCTTTCTCATGAAGGTACATATATACAAAGTCAGTTACAATAAATTGAAGAACCAATTTACAAAACATGGAATATTTAATCAAGATTTTTTTTTTAAACTGTGTTTTGGGGGGATTAAAGATTAACTATGACAGTGATGATGAAAACATACATGATCACTACCAAACATTAACAAACAAAAAAATATAAATTACAAATATGTTAAATTTTTGGAGAGAACAAATGGACATTTAAGGCAGTTCAAAGAATAGCTATAAAATATGTTTCGTTAAAGAAGTTTTCTGAACAAAACTAAGCATAGTTGAAATGAATCTATGGAGATTATTGGTTGAAATGAACCTATGGAGATTATTTACTGTTTACATTTGAGGTAAGCCAAACAATCCAGTCTATACAGATTTAAAATAACTAGGTCGGACACAGCTTCGCAACTAACAACAACAACAACAACAACAACAAAAGCAATAATAACCAATTACATATACAGATACAGTAGTCCTCGATTTACAAGTATTTGTTTAGTGACTGTTCGAAGTTACAACAGCATTGAAAAAAGTGACTTATGACTGTTTTTCACATTTACAACCATTGCAGCGTCCCCCCATTCATGTGATCAAAATTCGGACCCTTGGCAACAGGTATGTATTTATGAGGGTTGCAATGTCCCGGAGTTATGTGATCACTTTTTGCAACTTTCTGACTAGGAAATTCAATGGGGAAGCCAGTTTCACTTAACAACCATCTTACTAACTTAACAGCTGCAGCAATTCACTTAACAACTGTGGCAAGAAATGGGGCAAAACTTACTTAACAACTGTCTTGCTTAGCAACAGACATTTTGGACTCAATTGTGCTCATAAGTTGAGGACTACCTGTATTCAAGAAATGCCATTAAATATGAGTGATAATTTCTAGAACTGTAGCAGAGGATAAAGGAATAAAGAGGAAGGACTTCATACTTTTACTTTGCAGCTTTTAGTATAAAATGAGAAGGAAAATTGGTTTGTATATGTGTGTGCATATATATATATATGTTGGTTGCATGTGTGCACTAAAGAGAGTGAATGCCCGTAAGATTCCACTTGGGGGATCTTGGAGACATTCATCCCGTTCCACTACATCTCCTGAAACTCTCCAAGGATTTACTCTTGTATTTGGGAAATTATCTGGAGTAATATTTCAATGAAAAAGGAAAGAAAGAGAAAATAATACCTTTTCATGACATTATCAAATTGAATTAGAAGCAATTCTGTAAAGATTCGGAGTTACTTAATTACACATATCAACTAGCATGTTAAACTTTTTCTATCAGTATCCATTTCGAAGTAGCAGTTTCACTTTACTTACTATGAAAGTAATTTTATGAAAAGGAAGACTAGCTAAGTCTAATTAAGTATAAGACAATTTTAGCTTACCTCAAGAACATTTCCTAAATTCATAAAACCTGCCCATGTGATTTCTCAAATAGTTCCTTTGGGTATTATTTCTATGTGGGTATTATTTCTATGTGTTACTTGTCATGTATTTTATTCCTAAAACCACAAATAATATAAACATAATATAAATTGACAAACTTCAAAGTATCTATCTATTTTGGCTATATTGCTTTCTTCACACAGTTTTATATTTGACATTGTATCAGTATTTGGCATTAACCATAATGTTCATTTGACCTAAACATGTAATTCAAAAGATGTTAGATATTTTACAGTTAAAATTTGACAAATTTAATCCTGGAGGCCAACTTAGACAGATAACGAAGAACCCAAGATAGTTTAGGTGTGGAAATAATTAAAATTTTACCTTTGCCAAGTAATTCCCAATGTATCCTCATTGGCACTGGGGTATAAATGCCTGCCGTTTTGATTCATGGTCCAGTCACATATCCTCAGCTGTCAATTGAAACCTAGCAGTCAGATATGGATCGAGCAGTACTACAGTTTTTAGTATTTAAATGAATGCATGCAAACTAGCATTTTATATGGTATAAACCTTACATCCCAAGTAGTAGTAGTGGGGGGGAGGGGGGAAACAGTTTTAAAAAATAAATTTTAAATTATTACAGTGTAAAATAAAATTGTACACATTTACAAAATGCTATATGAATATGCTTTTCTATTAATCAAGCATAAGAGAACAACTGGAATTTAGCAATTAATTATATTATAAACTTAGCTGGAAAGAAAATAAATATTAATGTTCAATTTTAAAAGAAAGAAAACAAAAAGCACTTAAAATTATTCAATCTCCAGGGGGAAAAAAAGGAAAAAAAACAGTAACTTTGAAAGCATGCATTTGGTGATACACAGATGACATGCAACTTATAGGAAAGGATCCAAAATTACATAAAGATCTTATATTACTCTTCAAGAAGGAAAGAGGCATTTGTAATAGAGGTTGATTACTTTAGTGTTACTCAATACAGTGTCTCTTAACATGCACTGGTAAAATAACCTAGTTCTTAATTCAAGACAATAGCATTTAATAGATTTTAAATACAAGAAGAAATGCATTACATGTAAACTGAAATAAATGTTTTACAGATAACCAAATCACCAGAATACCTCTTTTAAAAAAACACTACCCATTTAACTCTACTCAGCCATTGTCTATTAGATGTTAGCATTTTTGTTAAAGATCTAGTGATTATATCCGATAAAATAAGCCTTATCTAAAGAAAACAGAGATTTTAATCTCTATAAAATAACATATATCATGCATTGAAGAGCACCTTGAATTAAATGCCATAACGTGATTATGATTAATTGTATATAAATGTCATTTCTTTCCCTCTCCACAATATTTAAGTGGCTCTAAAAGATCAATGTTTTAGTTTAAGCAGTGACTTTCATAGCAACTCAATTTATTGCACTTCTTTCCTGAAAAAACACACATGCTGAGCAGAAGACTATATTCTGTGCATCCTGTTGCTGAGTCTTCAGAGATGGAAACACAGATTTTTAACAACTGTTTTCTTAGATATTATCTGAAGAACTCAGCAATAGAGAAAGATAATTATTTATTACTTTATTTTAAATGTTTCTATATCTTCTGCTGTTAAATTAAATCTCAAAGTGACTAGGAACTAAGTAAACATGGAATCATGCAGACAAAAACATTTGAAGTATAGTAACAATGGCAGAAGTTATGCAAAGAAAATGGGGTATTTTTTAGAGTAAGTCTGGTTGCTGATAGAAATGCTAGGTGCATTTTTATATCATTTCCCACAACTAAGGTTTTTTTTTTAAAAAAAACCAACTCTAATTCATGGTTTAAGGTGTGTGCAGCCACTTAAGTTGAATGAATGGGTGGGGAAGCTCTTGGAAATTTGTCAAGTCTAACTTCTGCTGCATGTTTTCCATTTATATTAATCACATTTCTTGTTTTTTTGGGAAAGAAAACAGTTTATTTTGGGGTAGTAGTTTTTAATTTTGTTTATAGTCATAGTGTTTAGTTTTTATAAACACTGTTATTGTAGAATTTATCACCTTAAATGTCCTGCAAGACAGAAATTGAACAAATAAGCAAGCAAGCAAGCAAACACTGAATGACAGAAAATCAAAGGCATGAATGGAGTGTGCAAACTATAGTTTGTTAATTGTAATCCAGCATGAGAGCTACGTTACAAAACAAGCTTACAATAGTTGCTCTCCTGCTGAAAGATAGTACAGCTAGAACCAGAATATTGAGGAGCTTGTATCAGCTGAGCAGACTGAAACCATGTTTCCTGATGTTTTGAGTTCTAAAAAGTGGTTTGAACAAATATTTTGGCAAAGTTGTTCTTTAAAAATCTTTAATAAAATCAGTAATATATTACTAATGGAATTTGATTTATTTTTTTTGGCATTTGCAAAAGACAGTAAGACTTGATTTCACACTTATTGTACACACAACACATGTTTAAATGTTTAAATGTTATTGGGATACCTTTCCATATGAACTGTAACATAGTTCAAAAATTAAAATTGTACTAAACATATATAGACAAATATCAAGCAATATGCTGCCTGCAAAGTACAGCAAATATGTTATTGATGCTGTCAGCTTTAAAATGGTGATCATGTGTTGGAGGACCAACTTTTAATCAGCATATAGGAAATAAACAGAGGTAGAACTTTAGGCCATTTCAGCACCACACAGCTAATACTGCTGGCCACGAATTTCTGTGTGTCCTTACACTCACTATCTTACTTCTTTATATGATAATCCAGTGCGTATTTCTATGCCTTAGGATACGACTAAATTAACACAAAATCTACCTAAATTACACAGTTTATTTTTGCAACTGAATATGGCTTCTCAGATATGATCTACTTTATACACCTGATTCTTCTGCTCTGTTAGTATCTGTGATGTTATCAGCTGAAAAGCAAAACAACAGCTCCCAAAGGAAATCATGCACAAAACAAAAATTGTATGCTTCCATTTTTTTCCTCTTTTATATTGGATGTCTTCATGTCTATGGAGATTCTCAAATCTTCTAATCTAGCTCCAAAGTGCTTTTCCAAAAGGGAACTGGGCTTTCTTGTTTTTTTTCTCTTGAAAACGTTTTGCTTCTCTTCTTGAAAGTAAACTGTTTTCAAAGAAAAAACAAAAAAAGTCCAGTACTTTTTGGGAAAAGCACCTTGGGGACATACATCTCATGTTACATAGCATTTAAAATAATGCCTTGGAAGATCTTTTAAGGGGTTTGCTCCTTCTCTCTGGGACTGCTTTTGTATGTGTATGTGCATGTATATTTGTGTAAAACACCTCTTCATTCAAGAAGTCCTCCACACTGAATAAAAAGTTCTCAGTTGGAGGATCCTTTTGAGATATCATTGAGGACTACTGTACTGAGGATATAGGAAAGAAAAAGTGGATGCAAGATTTGTTGAAAATTTCCTTAAATCAAAAGAAGACAAACTTTTCTGGCTAGAGATACATCTGGATATTTGGAAATGTGTGGTAGAAATAATAATAAAATGGCTTCCATAACAGGATTGACTTTTCACAAAGAACTGGGCATGGACAACTATAAAATGTTAATTTCCTATATAGAAGAACTAACCCCAGAAGATGTTCTCTCCACCCTGAACGGCCTTTGTGGGATACAAATGCATTGTTGCAAATTAATATTGTATTAGCTCTAGATCAATTATGTTTTCATGCCTTCAGTTTATAGTTGTCTAACATTAGAAAGCTAAATATGGAATTATATCAAGCTAAGTATGCAATCTACAAATCAGAAATCTCCCATACATGCAATTAATACACTTTGTTAAGATCCATGAAAATATCTGTGAATGTTCCACATAAATTCTAATGCTAAACTATAGAAGCAATTATTCCTCATTGTTGTTAAAGAAAACACCTACGTTATCTACTGTTTAGAATGATAATAGTAATCAAAATAGTACAGGAATTACACTGCCACCCACTTTGCAAAAAAAGCAGTGCTGACTAAGAATGATTCAGTCTTGAATCCCAAATATTATGTACTCAAAAGTAGTCAATAGATTTTGATTTCTGCTTTACACATTAACCCTGTGCATTTTCAATCAGAAGTCAGAAGGGATAAAGCATTCAGTTCCACGTTCTTAGAAAATATTTCTCAATTTGTTGTATATGTTACTTCTAACAAGATTCAGGGAACTGAAAATAGCCCTTAACAATCAAGCATGTGGTATTTACTTAGGTTCAGAACAGATATATAGTATGGTTGAACTAATTTTAAAACTAAAATCCTAAGGAAGAAATTGATTATAAAATTGTTATTAGGGCAACAGGTGCTGATTATTGGAGAAAGTCACACCATCATATCAGCAACATTTTTTAAATGCCTTCAATTCTGCTTTCATTTTGCAAAATGTTCATCTAAGGTGATATGGCACCATAAAACAAGTTTTGAAGGTCTTGCATGTACTTGCTTACTGTTTTAAAATACTTGCTCTAATCACAAATTAATGATTAACTCAAACATGTATATAATTTAATATTCCTAATTTAAATAAAATTGGTTTCCTTCCACATCTCTCTGGATAATTCTTTAAGTGAGTATTTGTAAAAATTAATTAGTTATAGGAGAGAACAGTGGATTGTTGTTTTTTTGTTGATTGGAGGAAATCTATAAACATTTGCATATTCTCATTGTTTGACTGAAATTTCCTTTCAATGTGTTTCCTTTACAAGAAGAGTAGGTAAAAGATGACCTCTTATTCATTTACATGCTTCTTTTGACAGTCATGTGATCAGATTTTACGTCAAGCTGCCAGTTATGATAAGGCACACAATATGAGCAGCCAGATAGCTCATTTCCTGAATTTAAGTTTGTTTAAATTTGTGGGTCTTTTACTTGCTGCCTAAAGCAAGAACGCTTATTATCCTGAAATTTTAAGATACACTTGAAACTACCTCTTCTGTTTCATTTATGTGCCCCTGAACAAATTAACCAAGGGAATTCATTCTTATTTCTAATTAATCCTTTAAAAAACAGAAAATGTATATTGAGACACACTCAAGATCTTACATAATATGAATAAAGAGTAATTATTAGTAATTCTCTACTTTAGAATATATTTTAAAACCTGGGAAAAGCCAAAAATATATCTGAAAATAATGCTAGGAATATGTATTTATTTCCATGTAGCAATAGAACCCAAATAATATTAAGCAGTGTAAAGATATTAAAGGTGTATAAATTTTGGAATGATTAGATAAAACTAATACAAAGAATGCTAACATTTTCAATATAATTTGTAACTACTATTTTATTTTGGCTTATTTGTTTTCTTAAGTGTTTCCTTTTTTGTAAGATTCAAACATTCAGTATTATTATAAATCCTAAAGAAAGGGTTTTTTAAAATTCATTTCCTGAATGAAAAGGGCACGGGGAAACTTGTCAAATCACCAGGTAATGAAATCTCTACAAGCAATCAACCAAGCTCAGAGAGCAACAAGGTCTCCACGGTTCAACTCAGTTTCATATAGTCTCTTCTAATAACCTGTTGAACTTAATCAGCTTTTACTATAAATTTTATTTTACATTTCAACATTTATTTCAGAGATGTGCTAAAGAAAGTTAAGGAATACTTCATTGGTGCACTTTTCAGTATAGATTTTTTTGCAGATTCTGTGGATTCGCACAGTGCTTGATCAACTATAATCTGATAACAAAAATAGCAACCAAATATAGACCTTTATTGTTCAAGTACAATTCATGAATAATTACTTCATCCTCTTCTTCCTCATCGTTATTATTGTTATTGTTGTTGTTGTTGAGGAACTTTTAATGCAATTATTGAATCAAAGGCCATTATATTCTAGCCACAATTTCATACTGGGTAGGGAATGTGTATAATACAGTCAATATTTAAATATCTAGAAAGTGTTATATCAATGTAGAAATATTTGTTGAACTGAAAGTTAAATTTAACAATCGTTTAAGAGCTACAACCATAGAAAAATGTTCAGATTTCTGATTTTAATAGTATCTTTGACTTTTATAATTATCAGTATATTAAGTTAAATTCTTTTAATAATAATTTGGTCAGTAAATTAAAATGTATTGTTGATGCTGGTTCTCAGTATATATAATCTTTTAAAGCTGTATTTATAACATTTTGAGATATGCAAACATTCCAGCAATAAATTGTTTTACTGGAATTTCTACTAAATTGTTATTTATATTATTTATAAGTAGACTATATATAAAGAAAACTGCCAACAATATAAGCTACTTAAATTTATGGTCATTATTATAAATTATATACAGTCTATATTATGGCTTCTCTTAACAACAACAACAAATAGCACTCTAGATTAAACCTTTCATAACTGAAAAAAATAAATCTCTTCAAACCTCAATATTGTGAAGCAGGGTATGTACCTGTAAGAATATTTATTCCTAAAGGTGCCGAGTATATTAAAAGGAATCAGTAGATGTTTAAAACACTTCTCTGGAACTAAAATCATTGGCTTTCTAATTTAGAATTTCTCTCAGGTAATATAAAACTATTGATTGCTTTTATTTCATGTAACTTTTGATTTTTCCTTTCATTAATCATGGTCTATTTTAACCTAAATACATTTAGGATCTGTCACAAGAAGAGTGGTCTCTTTTAAATTGTTGTAAAGTAATGAAAAGACATAATAAATCAGTCTTATTTATATCTTACCAAAGCATAACCTTTACTCTACCCAAGTAATTTAGACAATTTCTGCCTGGGAGTTTTTCCAAATAAATAAATAAAATTATATTGTATTGTTATTTCCTAAAGTTTTTAAGGAATCAGATGCATGTAAAAAGGGGAAAAGCTAAGGTTTTGTTTTTTTTACAAGGCCTAGTACTTAAACTTAATTTTGATTTACACTACAAGCTTATTTTTTTGCACCACACTGCTTCTATAAAATAATTCAAGTTATCAGGTATTCCCTACTTAAATTTCTAAGAATTATTTCAAGTCCTACATTCCTGCATTCTGTTTCTATCAAGGATCAACCTGTTGTAGAGCAGTGATGTCTTTAGCATTAAATAGCATACTGATTCTGAACATGGAGTGATGTTAATGCCAATCTTTTGTAAACCTACAGTTAAAGGTAAGAAACTATTAACTCCACAAATGACATCTGTTTTTATTGTTCTACACTTTTGGATTGTTTTAACAACAAAAATGTATAAATATCACCATCATATAGGCCAGGGGTGTCAAACCGCTGGCCCACAGGCCAGATGCGTCATGCCGAAACCGCGCCCATCCCATTGCCAGCAATGGAAAAAAAGTCCATTAATTCCAGAAAAATATAATTCAAAAATCATAAAAAAGTCTTGCTGCACATTTTAATACAGTACTGCTTTGTTTCTGGTCCATGCATTAATATCACATTTAAATAACAATAAAGCAGTTTTAAATCCTTACACAGTGCAAAATTGTTTAATACTGTTTAATAGAATTCTATTTAAATAAATATTGATATGGATCTTACTATTTTTACATGAGCTTAGGGAATATGTTTTAAATAGCTCCATGCCCAAAATTATGATTTATACAATATTTTTATTTTCTATATATCCTGTTTATATATACTTCTACATGATTAAAGTTTTGAACTAGAACCTGGACGAACCATGATTTCTAATCTTTCCTCTGTCATGGAAATTTGGGTAACTTTATTTTCTTGGGGCCAATCATTCTCAGCTCAACACACTTCAAATTATTTCAGTTATATGGAAAGCACTGTGCAAAACTCATTCTGACTACAGTGTCAGAGTAAGAATATTCAACCAATTTAGAAACAATTGAATGAAGCTGTCTTTACTATCTTTACTGTGAAAAAATAAGGGAGATATTTATATCTTCTTAATGTCATAAAGACAAAATGCAGTAAGAAGTATAATAATAATAATAATAATAATAATAATAATAATAATAATAATAATAATAATAATAATAATATAATGCAGGACAGGATAAATTTTAAAAATCCATAATCACAAGCAGTGGTATTACTACAGCTTTGCTGACGGAAACAAGTCCAGGACACTACAGCTCCTAATTAAACATCATTTGCAATTTTAAATGTCTTGTATCTACTTATGTAATTAGAAACTATTCCTATTTAAGTTTCATTTATATTTCTTTATAAACTATCTTGATACAGTGTAATCTTTATCAAAGCATAAGTATCATATAAGAAAAGTAGTGATTTAAATAGCTAATACCTATTTAATATTTTAGTATCTTTCACTAATACTTTCACAAATAAACAAAACAAAATAAACACCAACCCTTGCTATATCCAAGCATTTTCAATATAATGTGGTTTAATATAGGGATGGGTGCCTTCTAGATGTTTTAGACCAGGGGTCCCCAACCTGTCCCGGGCTACGAGCTCTTGGCCAGTGGGCCGTGGAAACAGCTGGCTGGTGCACACACACATGGGCACGCATTCCCCCCACTCGCACTAGCACCCACAGCCCCGTTTGCGCATGCACTGCTAGCCTGGGTGGTTTGTGTGGCTTTCGCACATGCGCAAATGGGCTGCTAGCCGCCGTGGGGGGTGCACAGCCATTCGTGCATGCGCACAGCACCAGCATACATGCAACATGCGTGAGTGGAGCTGCTAGTGCTGCACCAGTGTGTGTGGTCCCATGTGTGTGCGCGCGCGCACATACCAATTTTGAAGCTGCTCTCCTTCCCTCCGGTCCTCAAGCCTGGAAAGGTTGGAGACCTCTGTTTTACCACGTTCGTAATCCCTTACTGCTGGACATACCAGAGAGGATGATGGGATTTAAAATCCAAAGTATTTTATCCTAGTCTATCAAGTTTATGGATTTTGTTGATTTTGTGCTGTGGCCCGTAAGGTCGCAAAGAGACAGACACGACTTAGCAACTGAACAACAAGAACAAAATACCACACTTCGGCATGGAGGACAAAAAATATTTCCAAATTCATCACTGCAGTATCCCACTATATCACAAGAAAGGTTCACAAGAACAAATGCCCACCAAAGTTCAATGAAAGGAAGCTGTATTCATTATCATGAACAATATATATTAATTTTGGATAACTAGAATTCAATTTTCTTCTTTGTAATGTACATTGCCCAGAATCGCTTCTGTGAAATGGGTGGCCAAATACACAAGATAAATAAATAAATAAATTCCTGGGTGTCCCTGCATAGCACTTTTTAATATACCACTACCCTAAAACTATATTTTCATTTTGGGGGAAATTATTTGCATTAGATACCCAGTATTAATGAGATGTGAGATATAAAATCCTACTAGAAATATAACTTATATTACAACTTATATTACAAGTATCAACAAAGCACTTTAATCCTCCTAATCTAGGAATCAGGATGTTCTGCAATATAATCCAATTATATAATTTTTCTTTTGGAATTACTTGATGCTAACACAGAACATTTTAAATGTTTAAAACTGAAATGGAAAAAAATAGCTAGTGAATCAATTTTCCTTGATTCTGAGCATTTTTTTCTGCTTTCTAGATTCATAAAAGGTTTAGCAGGTAAATATAGGAGGTTTCCTATACAGTATTACAATCTTCCTAAAGCTACTGAATCCCTTGAGATCCTGTTCTACACTAAAATTCAGTGATAGCAAATATGAATGAACTTGCTGCAAATATTTGTATTTTTCATTGATAATACCTATGTGAAACTTGCCCACCTGTTGCTGGTGTAGGAAGGAAGGGTCTCTTGGACTTAGTCCCACATATCGATTGGCTTGGGATGTACCTGAAGCTGTATAGGCTGATTAAGGAAGAACAAAACATATTGATAAAGATAGAAACCTACCTCATATTATTCAATTATGAAAGACTCAGAATTATGAAGCATGAATTTGGTTAAGGGTATAATTCAAGCCTGCCTATTGACTTCAATGGAATCTGCACGAAAATAGAACTACATTATCAGTAATAAAGTTTCCAAATCATTTAATTATTTCCCAGTTTCATTGAAGAGAAGTTAATTCAATCTGATTCTTATCTTCTTTCACCACTTTATATTAGAATTCTACTAGTGGAGGCACAAGCAAGGTAAAACTAATCCTTAAGACTTTGTGTAAGTATGGGTACAAGGTACATTGCTTCTAATACTATTATATACAAAATGTACATGTTGATTTAAGAGTTATTTTTATGTGGCATCAATGATTTTTTTCCAGGGAGAGCTAATTATTTTAAATAACTGGCAGAAACTATAATATTATGATCACTATTCAAAATTAAGTACGTGAAGAAAAGACAGTGTAAAAACTGATCTTCAGCCTAGGAGGTTCGGGGTCCTAACATTTTCTTTTGTTTAATCATGTACGTGAAGTTTCAATGACACTTACAAAAGTGATTTATGACCAGTCTTCGCACTTACAACTGTTGCAACATCCCAATGGTTAGATGATCAAAATTCAGACTCCCAACAATCAGCACATATTTATGATGGTATCAGAGTCACCAGTGTTTATCTGATTACTATTTGCAATTTTCCCAGCTGGCTTCTAACAAGCAAAGTCAAGGGCAGAAACTGGATTCACATATTGAAGGCATGATTCACTTAACAACTGCAGTGACTGGCTGAATAACCATGGCAAAAAAGGTCATAAAATCCAGCATGACTCACTTAACAACTCCTCTGCTTAGCAATGGAAATTCTGATTCCAACTGTCATAAACTGAGGACTACCTGTAGTCTACTGAATGAAATTGGTAGTTTTGCACCACTTCTTAAATTTGAGTCACTGTATCCATAATTTTATAAAGATTTGACTGCCATAACCAAATCATTAAAGAATGAAAGATAAGTAAATAAAAGGTGGACTAATTTCAAAAATACAGACTAACTTTTTGCAAAATAATACAAATATAATTTCTTAAAGAATTACCATTAAAAATCCACTGAAGAGCTACAATAAATGATGTAGGAATATGGGTGTTCTTAATTGTAATGGGAAGAATCATTTTAATATTTTTTTCATTAAAAGTTTTAGTAGATCAACTTTGACATGTAATACTTAGCCAAAAATATATAATTAGAGATAAAGTTGGTGTCTTTTTGTGCCACAGATCTTATAAGCACTGATTTATTAGAATTAAATGCGAGTATATTCCTCAGTAAAACTATCTCTTAGATAGCAGTGACACTCTTCAATAAAAGGAAATATGAACTATAATCAATTTTAGATGTCATCTGTTCCATTTTTCATACATTAAAAATGTACACATTAAATAATTACCACTGAAAAAGTAAAATCTTCATGCAGAAATAAAATTTATTTATATTTTGCTATTGTAATATGCTTCTTCTCTTGAAGACCTATAATGAATCCTCACAGAAATACTATTACGTTTAATATTCCCTATGTGCGTTTAACACTATTTAACGTATTATTTGAATAATGGTTCCTAAGTGGTCTGTAGAGATGGAACATTGGTAAGATTTAATGAAAGCTCTAACAACCAAATCAAATCTGAACCATATTCCCATTCTGTTCTGATAGATGTGGTACTTTGGATCATTAAAAGCTTCTTTCCTGCTTCAAAGGGTGAATTTCAGAAATGAAAAATTATAAGATAAATCATTTTGAAATGATTACCTTATACCTGATTACCTTATACTAATGTTAGATTAATCATAGTAGAACCAATCTAACTCTCTGAAACAGCGCTTATAGCGGTTACTATCAACCAAGAGTGAGCCTCTGCCAGGGACCTGGATGCACTGTATGTCAACTTACAAAAAAATCCACTTACAAAAAAATCCACAGGCTTAAATCTATTGCTGGCAGAAGAATCTGAGATTTTTGCCAGAAAACAACTTTTCTCCCATGCAACCACATAGAAATTTGGCTGTTTTAAAAAGTTGGTTAAGGAAAAATTTCTTCTCTACCACTTTTTCAGTGGAATGGAAGCTGTTTCATCCCACACAGGATTGCTGTTCTTATTTTCACTCTCCATTTCATTATTTACAACAATGAGTACATTTCAGACTTAGTTCAATTGGTATCATTTTTCTTACTGGTTTAACAAGTAGGGATGTTAATCTATGGACTTTGATGTGAGGTCCTGCAACTCTTATGACATAATAGCTGAAGTTGCTGGGAGTTGTTTCAGCAGCATCTGGGGGATGACATGTTTCCCACCCCCCTTTTAAATATTTTTTAATTTAAATGCTTATGCACGCCCTATCAAATCATCTGACATAACACTGATTGCAAATACTTATTAAATGAATTATAGTCAATAAATTAATGTTTGTTCTATAATTGCAAAAATACATCTCAACTAAAATGCAGGTTAATTCAAGGACTACTTGAATGGTTTTATGAAACTAGTAAGATGTATTTCCAAGTGGTGGCAAAACCAAGTGGAAGCAATGAGTAAGAAAATAAATGAATGTACTGTATATATAATTCAGTGTGCAAATTTCATGCCACTATCTTCATATCATTAGTTACCATTGTGTTTGAAACTGTCCATTGCATAGGCTATGGTGAGCTGTTACAGCAAATGGATGGTAACCAACATTCCAGCAGACTTAATATGATTACTGTAATGTTGCAATTTGTTGAAATGTTTAATATTGAAATTTGATTCAAGCAAGGTTAGAGTATTGTTCTAAAACTGCAATTCCATTGAAGACTATAGGATAAAAACCACAGTTTTGAACACAATAAATGAATGAGTGCTACACAGAGGTTTTTAAATCTCTTCAAATAGAGATATTCCGAAGGGTTCTCATTATTCTAATGAATAAAAACACTTATGCTAATTGGGTCTAATGTTGTGGAACAAGATCTGCTTTCAAGAAAGCTCACTTAGGAGCAATGGCTGGATCTCTTCCTCTCTCTGGATTTCAGATGTCAGCAGTTTTGCAGCTATAAATCTTGACTGTGCTTCTGAATGTTGTCAGAATGTCCATCTTAAATTTAAAAACCGAATGTGCTTTAATTTTCTGTTGGCAGTTGTTGGTCAAATTAGTTATCCTCTTTACTGTGGTTGCGCTATCAGAAGGATTGCGGAGTAATTTGACTTTTAATAACTGTAGAGTACAGGTAGTTCTCAACTTACAATCATTTGTTCAATGACTGTTCAAAGGTAAACAGCACTAAAAAAGCTGACTTACAACTGGTCTTTGGACTTATACTATATCTATAACAGCATCCCCATGGTCACACGATCAAAATTTGAGTGCTTGGCAACCAGCGTGTATTTACGATTGCAGGGTCCCAGGGTCATGTGATTGACACTTGCAAGCTTCCCAGCTGACTTCCAACAAAGTCTAATGGAAAGGAGCCAGGTTCACTTAACAACCACGAGATTCATTTAACAAGTGGGATTCACTTATCAACAGTGGCAAAAATTGGACACAACTCACTTAACCGCTGTCTTGCTTAGCAATGGAAATTTTGGTCTCAGTTGTAATTGTTAAATTGAGGACTAACTGTAAAACTATCATGATGTTATATTATTAACTGTGAGCGTCTACTTGGTCAAATAGGAGGAAAAGGTGCCTTTACTGGCCGGACTTGGAAAGTATTTTGATCATTTGATGGACATTGATTTTCCCTAGGCAAAATACTTACTGGTTGCTGTAGGTGAAGATGCCTCACCTTCAGTGGATGTAGTGATGGGCTTAGTGTCTGTCATAGTCAGGGTCACAGGTCTCATCGTACTGTGATGGGGAGAGGGTGCCAAAACTGGAGTAAAATGGCCAGGCATTTTCCCTACTACTTGACCACTGCTGTTAGGCTACAAAACAAAACCAGAAGAATGCCTTGTGAAATACATACATCATGCCTTCTTAGGGCATCCAGAATTCTATAGCTGTAGAGTATCACTCTGATTTACAAATCTTTCTTTCTGCATACAACTGCAGTCTTAATGTGGGTGCGTTTAAAGCTTGTGCAACTTTTTTATGAACATAATTTTCTCAAGCACCTATTTATCATATAAGAGACTAACTAGTAAAGCCGTGTTATTGATCCTAAATGTTTGGCAACATCAAACAAATAAACCAGCGAGAAGAACCCAAATATTATCATTAGATTCTGCTGATCTTATGTAGATGACTGAAAAACTCTAATAAGTTGTGGAAAAAAAGTAAGCACACCCCATGTATTTTTTTTTTCTTTTCTGACATGTTACCTTCATTCAAGCAACATATAAAAATAAAGGTGATGTAATTGAACAAAAAAACTATGAAAAATAAAAAGCATTTATTCAACCAAACTTTAACAAATGTACCATTTCCTTCTGCCATTGCTTTATGGAAAAAGCAAGTACATCCCTTGACTTTAATATCTGGCCCTTTGGCAGAAACAATCTCAAGCAGATATTTCTTCTAACTATATATCAGTCTCTGACATAGACTGGGAAAATTTTTTTCCCACAAACCCATGATTTTTTTTTTCAGCTGAACAAAGGAGGTTGACAGGTTTCATCTGGGTCCTGATCTGGCCATTAAAGAACTTGAATTTCTCCTTTGTTTTTTCCTCCAGCCATTCCTTGGTAGATTTACTGAAATATTTAGGGTCACTGTCATATTACAAGGTTCGCTTTGGGTTGAGCTTCAATCTTCTGACTGATGGTCTCACATTATCCTCAAGCATCCTCTGATGCAATGAAGAATCCAGGCAACAAAGCAGCCTGAACTATAACATTTCCACCACCAAGCTTTATCTTTGGTATCAGTTTTTCTGGTGAAATACTGTCAAACAAATCTATCTTTGCCTTGTCTTTCCAGAGCACATTGTTCCAGAAATGCTGGACTTTGCCTAGATGTTCATGAGCAAACTTTAGTCTTGCCTTGAAGTTCTTTCTGGACAACAAAACTATTCTCCTGGGATGCCTTCCATGTAGATCTAATTTGTGCAGATTTTTTCTAACAGTAGACTTGTGCACTTGGGACATCAATCCTAGCAACAACCATATGATGAAGGTCATATGATGACATTTTAGGGTTTTTAGAGACTTCTTTCAGTATCTTGTGTTCTACTCTCAGACTAAACTTGCTGAGAAAGCCAGGGCAAATTTCTTCAGCAATGGCAAATTGGCAGTTGTTTGAAATATTTCCCACTTGTAGATGGCCAGTGGAATGATTGATGTCCAATTGTTTGGAGATCATTTTAAATCTCTTCCCATAGGCATCACTAACCTTCTTTCTCAAACCCTCTTTCAATCTGGTGATATTGCACACGTTAACAACAAAAAACAAATTAAAGTAAATGTTTGAGGTTTAAATAAGGCCGGTTCCTTCCAATTCCTCCCTAATGAAGACCTGATCACATGCACCTGATCTAGTACATTTGATTCTTATTTTAGGTATTTTCTGTAAAAATTAAGTGCATACCTACTTTTTCTACATGTGAAATGCACATTTTGTTTATTTAAATTACACAATGGATTGAACCGTGGTGCCTTAGTGACTTAATGATGCTGGAGATGATCTCCACTCCAGTTATTTGAGTCCTAGCACCGTGTGGCGGGGATGAGCTCCTGTCATTCGCCTCAGCATCTGTCCAGCTTACAGTTCAAAAGCATGTTCTATGTGAGTAGATAAATAGGTACTCCATGCAGGCAGTCAGATTCCTGTTGGTTTGGAACCTTGCCAGTTGAGACACTAGTTTGTGAGGTAGCTCTGGTGAAGGAAAAGGCCTTAGATCAGGCATGTCAAACTCGCAACGTCACGTGACGTCGTGCGACGTATCAGAGCTTTTTCGCCATTGCCGGCAATGGGGTGGGTACGGCTCCGGTATGATGAAACCGGCCCGTGGGCCGGCAGTCTGACACCCCTGCCTTAGATGATACTGCAGGAAGAGACTTATTTTACTTTCTACTGTGAAGCCAGCTTGCCTTCCTGTGGCGCACCTTGGAAAGCCCGCAAGCATGTCCTAACAACATCATACACTAATAATAATAATACCACCACCACCACAATGGACTACAAAATGTAAAAGGTGGAATGATATTTGTTTTGTCTTGTGTTTTTTTTTATCTAACAATATTGTTGAACTAAAGATCAAACATCTCTATGTTGAAATATGCTGAAAAAGTTTTTAAAAAATAAATGGGGTGTACTTATTTTTTTCACATGTTATTCAGTGGTAACAAGGAATAAAAGAGGATTCCTAATACAGTGATCTGGGACACCTACCAGAATCCCTCTACAAATTTGATATTAATATTATAGTCTGAGAGTTTAATTATTGCACAAGTACTGCCTATTACAAATGTAGATGTCTATTAGTTCAGTAAGAGGAACAACACTGTAGGTTAACCATATAATTAAAGAATAGTCAATTGCACTAAATTAACTGTAGTAAAATTAATTTGATTACTAAGTAAGATTGGTATATAATAGAATCAACCATTTTATGTTTATTGCTTCAACTATTTACTTTAAAAGGATGCCTAAAAATCTAGATTGTTCATTAAAGAATGCCCCGGCAAATCCATTTGTGTTCATATCAAAATACTGATAAAATGCTTCTAAAAACCTATACCATTGCCTGTGCATGACACATGAAGTAGATATAAGAAATGGTGTGATTAAAACTAAATATATAAATATTTGTTTAATGATAAATAGAAGGTATGATTAAAAAAAACTTAAGCACATATATGTAGTCACCAATTGAGCTCCAGAGAGATTATTTATTAATAATGTACACACATTGTACTGCAGATGTATGATCCAGCTATTTTGAAGTATTATATTCTAGTTGTCATCTCTGAACAAATGAAAAATTACTTTCCAACTTTCTGGGAGCTTCAATATAGATGTTGCTGAATGCTGAGCACAAACATGATATATCATGAAATATATTAATTAAATGTTTATTTTGTTAATTCTAAGATTGTAACCATTCCAAAATATGTGCAGCCATAAAATCTACAAAAATTTACAGTACTCTTCCAACATTATATATATTAGCCTTACACAATGTAGGACCCAGGAAATAAAACAGAGTGAAACTATAAATAACAAAACTCACTAACAAATAAATGAAGTGATATTAGAGGTGAATGTTAATAACAGTTAAGTCCCATTTGTTTTTGTTTTGTTTTGATTTGATTTTTGTTTTGGTGTATACTCTATGTTTGACTATACTTGCTTGCTCTATACATTCTTTGCTTTATTTTATTTTATTCTGTTTTTAATTCCCTTACCTTTTAAACGTAGGTTTTATGAGAGGAGATGCATGCAGACACATGCAAATTAGTTTAAGGTCTATACAGTAGCTCCTAAGCACACATTTAATTTTAAAATAATAAAAATTATTTACATCATGAAAATGGATCAAACACCTAAGGTTCCTGGAACATAAATTTCTGCCATAGTTGAGAGAGCTAGTGCATTACTTATTTACATAGAATCAGCAGCAGAATCAAGCTGATACAATATATGATCTGTATACAGGCTGATATGTATAAAACATAAGTATTGCATCTATCACAACTAATGTTTAAAGTTTAAATATATTTATTTTACTTAGAGTGTCTGTGTAATAAACTAGAAATATGACATAATTGCATAATACCACTACAAACATACAACAATGCTAAAAATACAGATAAAAGTCAGCAAATTATTTAATAAATTAGTTCAATTAACAAACACTGCATTAACTGAAATTAATATTCAAGAAATTAATTATCAAGAGGTATTTGACATTGGTCTCTGACGCTGACAATTATACGGGTACTATATCCCAACTACAGAATTCTCCTGGTTCAATTATCTTTTGATATTTGAATTTTAATTATACAATGTACCCTTTGGTATGTGAATCCTTGCACAAGTACAAAAAATACAGGTAATTACTGGCAAGACCAGAGATAATGCAAGTTATGTTTAATACCTACTGACATCAATGATATTTAAATGCTTAACTGTAGGGTGAAGTATCACTTTAAATGAAATTTATAATACTTTTTAATGTTACAGGATGTTAAAAGAGTCATGAACATAATATTTACAGTATTCAAGTGTGATGTATGGCATGTGACTATATGGTATATTTTACCAGTCTTTAAAGGATTAGAGTCCAAAAGTGTAATGGTATATGGGAATGACCTTGGAAGATATACTGCCTTGGGAACGGTCAAATAAGAGGAAATATCTTCGCAGCTGCATAGTGGGAAGAGCAAGATGCTCTGGATATACCATCCCTAAATTATTAAGCTATAAAGATGATGATGGGACCATTGTACTTTCAGACTTGCATGATTTTGTTCATGTAGCTTTATAATAAAGTAGAATTAGCTTATCCAGCCTGGTGTACCCGATAAGGCTGACAAAAAGAAATTTAGGTGTCTCTTATACAGTATCTTTGCAATATTTTGTTCCACCCTAAAATATTATTCTTCCCAGCATTTTCTCTGCATTGTTTCTAATTTTTAAACAACAGAAATATAGCCATAAGGTTTTAAAATGCTTTACTTTCATTTACTGATGATTAAATAAAACTGGTCATAAATATACAAAAACTGTTTAAATGAAGAACAATTGAGCATCTAGTAGCAATAGCAACTGAAATAAATTTGGCAACCCATCTAGAAATATCCAAAGATACAACTCAGTTAAGAGTAGTTAGTGATACTGTGAAAAGGATAGAGGGTGTTGGGTGATCCTGTCATGTGTAAAAGAACATACAAAATCATATTAAAAAGACTCCTGCAACAGGGGTGGAGTCTCTTTCAAGCATAAATATTATTAAATCTACTTTTTCACAAATGAGGATGGCAAA